TTTACTATCATAGCAGATGGGGGGTAGGCTTTTGGGGGAAAGATTGAATTATTCAACAATACATTTGACTAGCAAAGTATGTGCAAAGAATATTGCCATTCTGCAAATGATGAACACCTACTTAATTTTCTTGCTGTTAAAGAGTATCTCCAGTATCTGTCCACCCAAATTTATAATCTAGTTTGTTTTAATCTCTATCTCTGGACTCTCCCACTCTCCCCAGATCAAGAAAAGTCCTTAAAGCCCAAATAATTAACAGCCTACCCTCTGGAAAGTCTGGGCCAAATTCTTTGGAACTGTTGTTAATTCCCTGAACACATACACTTTTGTTCAAATGAAGCACAGAAATGCACTTCAAAACCAAACTGAAATAGCTAGCAATTTTTTTCCCCATTACTACTACACTTTGATGACTGGAGATATTTAAGAATTGACAATAGACAGAATTAGAAGATGTTAAAATAAAGACTCTTCCCTAAAAAGGGTTGCCTAAGTACAGGTCTATACAACTAGGTGTCATGGTTCCTTCAGTGACTGTTTCATCTCATTACAAAAGACTGACATTTCTTTTCACAGATGGAATACAAAATTTTTCAAATACAATGCAATTCTCATCTCAACAGACTACATTAATATACGTGTGTGTGTGTGTGTGTGTATAGCATTGTGCAAATTAATCCAATATTTTCTTTTCTTTAAATTGCATTACATCAGATATATCTCAGTTGTCAACTATTTGTTCAGTTCTTGATCAGTCCTTATCCAGGGGCAAGGGAGTAGATGTCAAATCAAGGGTATTTAGGGTGTGTGTGTGTGTGTGTGTGTGCGCGCGCGCGCACGCACGCACACGCGCATGAGTGCATGTACATACATATCTTTGATTCTATGCCAGTGTCAGATAGGATATATTTGAATATTATCAGTTTTTTGTACTTTCATGAATATTTTTCATTTATTACCACGAATACTCATGGTGATTTTAATTGAGTCCATTTGTTTTCATGATGTGAAGCATAGCAATAGAAATGCTTGGAATTGACCCCTTTTGCTCCAATTTTCTCTTTACCAATTCAGATTCTACCAGAATCACAAATTACCCTTGCCCACCTTGTCAAACCTCTGCGTAACTCCACTGAGAGGGATTCAAGATCAGAAAAGAGAGACTTCAATGACAAGGAACAAAAGCACGTGATACCCAATCCCTCAGGAATAGGTCAGGGATACATGGCATCAGCATGAGAGCTTAGGGAACTGACATTCCTATCTCCAAACTCTTCCTATATTTTGTTAGCATGAAAAAACATTTATATGCAATTAAATTTATTAAAAGTTGTAGCATTTTCATGTGGACTCAGCTGTAGGTTACGTCAGCACCCTTCCCCTCCTGTCCTGACCATTAAATTCCTGTCCTGAGCAGGGTTTTTGCTTTTATGTTCTGGCTTCATTGTTACAATGGGGCTCCTGCTGTATTTAAACTTAAAAAAATATATATGTGGAGTTTTTCAGTTTTTTCAGAAGGCTTGATGTTCAGCGTTTCACATTCTAAAATCCTACATTATTGTTTCCAGTCTCATCCAGAATAATGCACAAAGTATAAATCTTTCTGAAGCTAAAGACAATGCAAGGTTATGGAATGCTTTTTATTTCTCAAGATCCATATTTATCTCCATTTTTTAAATTCAAAAGAACCCATTAAATCCTCTGAAACCCATTGAATAAAAATTAATTAAAAACATGACAAATATATGGGTAACTTCCATATCATGATATAGGAACTTATTTGTATTTAAAATATCTTTACATACTTGGCTCAACTTTTCTCCCACGATGAATGGGATGCTGTCACGTTGAATGGACATCACCTGGACTAAACTGATTTGAGACGCTGTGGATAAGTTCCTATTTCATTTGATTTTTCCTTCCTTCCTTCATGCCTCATCCCTCTTACTCTACCCCCTTTCTTCTCTTCCCTTCGTCTTTCCACATTCCTTTTTCCAAAAAGCATGTAAACTGGCTTAACAGATTAAATAAACAAACAACAAACTAAGCAAACCAATGAAGCCAATTTATAAATGAATAGTGTTTAATCTTCTGGACTTCAGTTTCCTCTTCTTTCACCTTAACATTTGTATCACTCTGTTAGTTAAAAAAAAAAAGTTTTTCTTTCTCATTATCCCTTAGCAACCAGGTTGAGCTAACTGGCTCACAAATGCATCCTGAGATTTAAGAGGAGCAGCATCTTTTGGCTGTTGAGTAAGGTCTGAAAAGAACAGATTGCCAGCCAGAAAATTAATGGTGCTTATTATACAGCAGTGTGAGTGAGCATTTGTAGGCATATATCCTGGGTTGCTTAATTTCTCTAATTCCCCATCATGATTATAAAGAGATTTTATGCTCATTTTCCCCAATGACCTGTTGAGTATTCTTGCTCCACCTCTTAAGCCAAAGGCTGATACAACACAAGAGGCCTCTCCCAGTGTGTACACATAGAATCACATAAAACATAGACATCCTGCCAATCAAACTGTGCACTTTTGTAACACATTCATCATGCCACTTCAAGGCTATAAAAACATGGCTCTCCATTTTGAATTCCAAATCAGTTTTCTTGACAAAAGGGAAATAATATATCCAATCTCTTCTGTTTTAGCAGAAACTTGGAATTCTAACAAATATACTTTCCTGGGGGCTTTCATATATTTCAGAGAAGGAGCCACAGCTTTTAATCCCATGCACATAAACACAAGGAGAACGAAGGAAGGTTCAAGTATTTCTCTTTTCTTGATTGCACATTATACTACAGTGGCTTCTCCTTAAAAATATAGCAAATTTGTCATGCCAGACAACAAAATAAATTTAGTCCAAAGTCTGGGTGCACTTTCTTGGCAAAATCATCGAAAGTTTGTGTGTATGGGGGGGGGGGTCTCACATTCTTGACTCTTTCAGAACTGAAGGCAGTTATTTGGGACTATTTTTCAGCATAAACAAACTGTATTTTTTGTTTTTGTTTTTTTCTCGATTGGCTATTAGTGAAGGAGGATGAAGAGTAAGATGGAGGCAGAAGTAGCAAAAAAGCAGACTACAGATGCAGGTATGGCACCAAATAGCAATCAAGTTTGAGAAAACAAAAATGAGGCCAAGAGTAGGCCCATAACTAAGCAGCATATAGCAAACCTTTATAATGCATTTGACTCAGAATCAGTATGTAGTCATATAGCATTCCTCCCAAAGAAGCCTTCTCCCATGCAAGGATTTACGAACTTTGTCAATAAGACCCAAAGAAGGAAACAGGCTTCTTGATGGTGTTCTCAATCTCAAACACCTCCGCAAATGCCAACAGTGCAAGTGATGAAAGCCAGTGATGGTTTGGACTACATCTAAATGAGGAAAAGACAATGGAGTGAAGCTCTGGAGGCAGTGATGAACAATGAGAACTGAGAGGATGATGGAGAGCAACTCTGCCGGGAAACTGCCACCTACATGAGGCTGTGGAGTTGGAGATCCACACAGATGTTTTGTGCATCCATGTAAATAATAAGATTTGGAAAGTAACAAATGAAAGCACACAAGGCAAGCTAAACAAAAAGCACTCGGTTCCACAGGTGCTGTGTACAGATGGACATGAAGGCTGAATGGTATGGGAAGCTATACCATCGAGGCAGAAGATAAGAAAGGAAGCAAAGGAGATGCAATGTTTTGATCGCTTCTTGGCAGAGAGAGTCTTCATAATTACCAACTTGGCAGAAAGGACACATTGCAAGACAGATTGCTCCTGGTTTTTGAAGAATGTTGAGGCAGAATCATTTTGAAAATGCAAAGAGGTGATGGTGCATTGGGAATAAGCACACAATAGCCAATTTATTGGATTTTAGTGGGACCGCATGGAACAGGCTTTCCAGATGGCATCTCCATGCAAGCCAGATCAGCTCTTTTCCCAGCTATGTTTTCTGCAAGCCAAACAACATAGGAACTGAAACCTTTGGGTTCAACAAAGATTTTTTTTTCACATATTTTTATCAAATGGTCAATGTGCTGAATTTCTGAAAATGACTTGGGGAAAAAATTGAGCTTCACGACCAGTCTGATTCTCCCAAGTTATTTACCATGCTGCTGAAGCTGTTCCTGGTAAGGCTGCAGTAAACGGCAGCACCATGGTTGACTGGGAAAAGAACTAAAGGTGGCAGAGCCACACTTTGGAATTTGCTAACACTTTACATTAGATGGCACCTTTTGCTGAAAGAAAGGGACCAGAGGAGGAGGAAAGCCAAGGAGAAGAACCTTAACACATACATTTTGGAAATCTTGCTAAGAAATCCTGATACTTCTATTCACTGAACTTATTATTTTTTGCATTTGATGAAAATGGACGAGATACTTTCACTTTCATGACAAGGGGAATGCTGGAGTGAGTGACTGAGCAAAGACTATGGCATTGTTAGTGTGTGACAACTCTCTTAGTTTTTGGCAACAGCACATCAGCCTGCATTAAATATAAACATTTTCTGGCTTTCAGGGTTACTGTTGACCTAGTATGCATTGGAACCTGTGCAATAAGTTCCTACTGTTTTCATCGTCTCTAACATGTGAACACAGTCCACACGTAGAGAGGCTGGCTCCTGAACAGACAATGAAAATTACTAGGACTAACAAAGGGAAATAGACTCACAATGAGTAACTATGCAAAAGCTCCCAATAATTCTGATAGTCACAGCTTGGCAATGAGTTTCCAGACTATGAAATTAGTTTTCTTGTAAAGAATGGAGATTTTACAAGGCTAGTATAAACATGGGGTAATTGGAAAATCAAATTGCTCTTTGTGAGTTATTGTAAGGTCTGGAATAATGGCGATAACATTTATTTAAAAAAGAAAAAACAACAACAAAAAAACCTCCCTATGAATAATGTAGTTTGGTGTTTGTTAGCAGTACTGTTGCCAAGAATGCTCGCCTTGGAAGTACAACAGTGGAAACTTAAACTGTGAAGCCCAAGTCCCAGCTTACCCCTGACACAATGAGCTCTCCTCCCAGATTCTGTACTTCTGCCTTCACCTTGCTGCAGATATTAAGCTGATGGCAATACAAGGCAATTCGTTGAAGGTAGGCTAATAAATCCTGCTTACATGCTGAATCAGGACACTATAAGACATCAAACAAAGTGTTCTCAATTAGTAAGTACTCTTCAGTTTGAAACACTTGCCTTATAAAAGCTGGGAGAGAAAAGGGTTCAGTATCATATACCTTCATTATATCCATTTAACTTAAACTTCTTTATAGTGCATTTTGGGAAGGCCACAGACAACAGTTTGGCATGGCTGGCTCTACTTTGATAAAATTCTATGAAAAGAATATTGAAGATCTTCCAGAAAGTCTTATTGGGACTTTTGTACATGTTTGTGAGTATTTTTACCAGTTGTCTCCTAACCTGCTAAAGAAAACTAAATATGCTACAGTTTTTTTTTCCTAGTGTTCCATTCAGTGTTCACTATGTGCAAAGTTATTTTAATATGAACAACCAAAGCAACAGATGCTAGAAGGACATTGCTCCATGTGGCACTCTGTCACAGCCTAGGGGAGAGTTTCAATTCAGTTAGTTGGGAGAAAAAAAAATCACTTGTTTCTGTTGACTTTCTAAAAATGGCATCATTCATTAAAGGAAGTTTGTTACAATTTTTGGATTTTCATATTTATCAAAATTTTAGCAACATGATAAACTTCCTTTAAATAAGAGACACTGAGAAGGATTGTGACCACTGTAAGAAAAATAAATTTGTGTAGAATGAATTTAAAGCCAATTAAATAAACTCATAAGAGTAACAACAGAGACCTTCAAAGGATGCACCAGAGTTAACTATGGCCAGGGAGTTTGACTTATCTTTGTGACTTAAGTGGGTAGATGTCCATAAAGGCGTGCTGAGCTTTGCTGAATACTTCTAGACATCTACATGACTATCTAAAGCATTTCTGAGGTTCCAGAGGCAATGGTTATCCAGTAATTGAAATATACTTCTATTGCTATCAAATGTTCAGCTCGAGATTCTCTAGGGAATCCCATTGTTCTGGCTCAATATGGTACTTGCAAAGGATATATAATCACCAGATCCTTGATGAAACACTGCAAGAAATAAGTACCAATAGCCCAAACTGAAATATCTTATTTAGAACAACAGTATGAGAAAAAGACTCCAGCTAAGTTTCTTTTGCACTCAAAAGAGGGGAAGCCAGGGTTTTGACATAACCATTTATTTAATAAATGACAAAGGGATCTCTTTTATATATAAAACTTAGCATTGTGTATGTTTTTTTTCACCAACTGCATTTATCATGAAAAAATACCAGAGAGAGTGTTTTTAGCTTTCCATAAGTACTTAATACTGTAATATTTATCCTACTCCAGAGACCCATATACTGAAAGGAATTAACTTAAAAATGATATCTCCCTAGAGGGCTGACAAGGCTTTTGATACAAATACCTTGTAGCAAATTAAACTGGAAGTTCTATCTCAATGGAACAGTAATTAAAAATGCAACAGTCCTTAAAAAGTTTTTATTGCGTGCATATCTCAAATCTTCATAAAAACATTTTCAGGCAAAATAAAGGCAACATATCCACTTCTTGGTCATGCTCATTCTATTATTTAAGCTGAAACATTTAAAATACACATAAATGCATGATGGGCCAAGAAAACTAACTCTTATACCATGGAAATAGGTACACAATTTGAGAAAGAAATGTCTTATTCAGACAAAACATGAGGAAATCTATAAGCTGCTTCACAGCTGATGATAGTAAGAATGCCACAACGAAAGGGCGGTTTTTAACCTTCATCTGTGTATTTTAAAAGTTATGAAATAGCTTTTAAATTCTTTGTCACTTATCTCAAAATACATCTAGAATCCTGGGTTGTGTGTGTGCACATGTGGTGAGTTTTCCAGGTATCAAAACTGTGTTGGGCTATGCTTCATTTTGCATAATTGTTGGAAATAAGAGTCCCAAAATGCAATATCATACACAAGAACATGATAAAAAATATTGAACTGGAGGAGCCTAAATAGATTGAAAACTAGTTTCAGCCATTGAGATGCAGAGGATAACGGGAAAGCTGCTCAACCTCCATCTACTTTCACTCCCAGGAAGGAGTCCTTCCGAACAAACTCTGAGAGTCGCCCACCGATGTCTGGTGACCCTGCCCATCCCAACACATCTCAGAATGTGAAGAACAGAATGTGGCATTCTTTCTGGTTGGCACAGTTTGTTTGTGTACATGCATGCATATTTTCCAGTATGTTCACGGTCTTTCCTCTCATTTACATGAAAAGTGCAGGAAGCCTGGCAGTTGATATTACCCTGAAATTAGCAATTTAGAAATGGTTTGCTCCTCAACTCCTACAAATTTGGGGAGTTCTCAGATTATGGTAGTATTATGAATGAATTACCTTCACAATTAATTCAAAAATTCAAAAGAAAGCAAAGAACATTCTCCTGGATTAGCCCTTGTATATGCAAAAAAATAAAAATGAGACAAATCTGTTGACTTATTTTAAAAGTAATGCTAACAGTTTGCTTTTCTTTCAGTCTTTGGAAGATGAGTAAATTTGGTATTGATTTGAAGGATTATAGAATCTGGGATGCTGAAGACACAGGTATTTAGAGAAACAGCCCAATATTAAGGATTGAGGGAGAAACACTATAATGAGCAACTCAAAGATCATAGGAAACTAAGGCCTTTTATGAAGAGGGAAACCATCTTGTATCTTTCATTGACTCCAGAGAGCATCAGTACATGGTAGTCTAGTTAGCAAATTCATGCTCACAATGTTGTCTCCATGTAGATAATAGTTCATATAATATTTTATATTTCAAAACCTTATTTTATATTTTAAGACATTTTCCTTTTACAGTGGTACAAAATGTAAACCAGTTACTTAAAGGGATAACCAGAGTTATCTGGAAAAGTCTATTACCTAAAGTACCTTTAACAAGGAATGGAGGATTATTGCAAAAAGATATATTTAGAATAGGATTTGAGAGTCCCAATTCAAGCCAAATAAAATGAAAATTGTGAAAATACACTCAGACATGCAAGGTGAGATTGAGAATTATTTTTTACATGTATCCTAATTCAGTATGAAATCACAAAGGATATCAGAGAATTTCATTCATCTCTGAAGCCTTTGAGTCTGGATGAAAATAAAATTAAAATCTGCAGGTTCTTGATTATTTGCATTAATTCCATTAATGCTAGATCATAAATTATTATGAATTTAGAAACATCATTCCAGTGAGATCAGTACGAAATAAAAAGAGGTGAAGTTCTTTCTTTCGCTTCTCTCTTCTGCAGTATACTTGATGTTCTGAATAAGGACAGCTGGGATAATCCATGACTCTCTGGGGGTTATGTCTCCTATGTACAGGATGCTCTTTTTTCTCGAGCAATTTTCATCACAATCCTTAGGAGTCCCTCCTAAACTGAACCCACCTTTGCCATAGCTCAGTCTCGGCAGAATTAGAGGACCATTTGTTAAATGTTAGTGATTCTCCACAACTACCTTTCAGAGGCTTTCTGTAGGGTGCATAAAACCCATTACAGAACCCAAGTGCTAATTAATAATTCCACTCAGCACGTGCTTAATCTTCCCTCTTATATTACCTGATCAGCCACAGCGCGGGCTAATTTGTCCATTCGAGAACCTGCTTCAGCAATTTTCTTGGCAGCATTAATGACATCAGATGTATTTTTCAATGGGCCTTTGCCTCTGAAAGGACACATACAACATAATTAGTAATCCACTTTTATGACAAGGAATAGACAAGTCCATCATATCGTTTGCCCAGGACCCTGCCTTCATATTTGATTTGGCTCTGGCCATGTGAGAAGAATTTTTGAATGTTTTCTCAATTGACTTAAATTTCCATATTAATAGTTCTCTTTACTTCCATTCACTTCTAGGGAATATTTTTCCCTATTTTGAAGTGTATGCTCACATTTTGTTCTTTATGTGATTTCCATATTTTTAGCAGTTCATTTGAACAGATGATTTTCACAAGGGCAATGGGAATGTAATCTTAGATGCTTACTCTGTGTCAATGTTGTTATATATATACTACCTCATTCGTCTTCACTACAAACCTACCAAATAGGTATCATCATTCCCATAGAGAAGTGTAGAGGGAAAATGATTAACTCATCTAAGCTTACATAGGCTGTAGGGATAAATTCTCAATTTATACCAGAGTTTGGCCAAAATAATGCACTGGCATATAGGCGTTGTCTTTCATACCATGTCTGGCACTAGTATTATATTAATTGTATTTTTAAGTCTACTTTGACACTTTGAGAAGTCATTGTCTCTTGTACATATAACTGGAAACTGTTCAGTCAAAACTTCAGAAATCTGTTGAGCTCTTACTCTCATTGGCTTGTATGCTTCTGGTACTGACTTAGGAAGACACATACAAAAGCCTGAATGACAACAGATGTCTTTATGCTTTAAACCGCTGCCCCCAAATTTTCACATAAGGTTTTCAACACAGCAAACTGTTTAATACTACATGTCTTTTAAATATTTATTACAAAGGACAAGGAAACTATGCTGCATCATACATCTTCAAACAAAATGTAGCATGTAACTTTCCTGAAAGGTGAAAAATTCCTTATTTTAAAGCATTGTTACTTATTCTGATCCCCTTACATGCATCTGAAAATCAATGCATTTCTTTTCTCATGGCTACAAAATTTCATTCCCATAGTTAGGAATGTGGTGAGATGTAGAGAAAAACTATTTAGAAGTGATTTATTTAGAAAGCATAGCGTTATGTAGAGTGGGCCATGATTGCTATTGTTAAATAACATTTTATAAAAGGGAAGACTTAAAATAACTTCAGAAAATAAATGTAAATGAAGGGCATTTTGTTCAGTTTCCCTTCTGATTTCCCTTCTGGCACTTTTTGCTATTAGTAGCTAAAAGTAAAATATATTGTGTTCATGTCAATGCTTAAATGCACACAGAGAGATATTTAAAACCTGATATTTCATTTTCCCGTGGTAACATTAACTCTTCCACAAAGGACATTGATTATTTTTTCCAGCTGCTATTTAGATTTTTAAATATGGACAGGGATTTCACATGCACATTTTATGTACTATGGATGAGTTAATATGTGACAAATACTGTGACAATCTGTCTCCCATTCTCTAACATTATTTTTTAAATTATTATTGTTAGACAAACTTTCCTTATTTTTGTTTCATATTTGTAAAGGAAAGTTTAGATGCAGGATTTTCAATGTTTAATAATGTTCTCATTATTTTGTATTTCTCTAGAATTTTTAGACCTTAGACAATCACTTTTTTGCAGTTTTATTCTGACACAATATTTGTTATCTTGCCTGTATCTTAAACCATCTTAATCTACAAAAAGCTGCACTCTGCTTGATTTTTCTTTACTAACAATCATGTGTGTTAGTCTATTTCAAGAATGTCAAAGGATTTGAAACACTTCCTCATGAATCTTACAGATCTTTCAACAATTGATTGATTCTGACAAAATGTGCTAAGTTAGTAAAGAACATTTATAGAGACCTGAATTTGCTTGAGGCTCATAACCCCATACTGAAGCCAAAGAATGATTAGAAGCATCTTTTGTGATTACACCAGAGATGACAGTTCATAGACTCACCAGTATTACTTGTAAAAGTTTGAGACTTTAGAGTCCACTACAGACTCAATTCAAATTATACAAAAGATAAGAAATAAGTTGGAGAAGATGTGGAGACAAAGGAACCCTCCTCCACTGTTAGTGGGAATGCAGCCACTATGAGAAGCAGTGTGGAGGTTCCTCAAAAAGCTAAAAATAGAAATACCATATATTCAGTAATTTCACTTCTAGAAATTTACCTAAAGAAAACAAAATCTCTGATCAAAAAGATATGCATTCCTATGCGTATTGCCAGATTACTGACAATAGCCAAGATATATGGAAGCAACCAAGTATCTATAAATAGACAAATGGATAACGAAGATGTGGTACATAAACACAATGGAATATTATTCAGCCATAAGAAGAAAGAAATCTTGCATTTGCAGCAACATGGATGGAGCCTGAGAGTATTATGTTAAGTGAAATAAGCCAGGCAGAGAAAGTCAAATACCGTATGATTTCACTTATATGTAGAATCTGAAAACAAAACAGCAGCAGACTCATAGACACTGAGAAGTAACTGGTGGTTACCATGGGAGAGGGGTTCAGGTGGGTGGGTGAGGTAGGTGAAGGGGATAAAAGGCACAAAATCTCAATCATAAATGGGGATGAAAGTACAGCATAGATAATATAGTTAATAATACTATAATACCTTTCTATGTGGACAGTAACTACACTAGTTAGGGTGAGCATTTAAAAATGTAGTTACCTGTGGAATCACTATATTGTATACTTGAACCTGATATAATGGTATATATCAATTATACTTCAAGGACAGAAAAAACGATTCTTGGGAGCCACAGGCTGGTGATACGGATGTATTTCATGAAACTAGACAGCAAAATAGAAGTTTTAAGGGCAAATATTTCCTCATATTCTAGCTAAGGAAACTGAAACTGAAGGTCATATAATTGACACATCAAACATATGCAAAAAGAATGTGGACTATAACCTCTGTGTCCTGAATCACACAATTCAGGACTTTCTTTGCTATATAGATTTTATTCTTATAAGAACAGCTAAAGTAGTGATCTCTGAGAAACATACACAGCCTTAACTAGATATTAACATGAAACAAATAACAAAAACAATAATTATCTGACTCAAGAATTTAGAAGGAAGTAGGAAGAAACAAAATTGCTAGATTAATGAGTTAGAAAATAATAAAACACTGGAAATAAATCAATCTTACACTAGCTCAAAAAAGTAAAAATGATACTGCTATCAAGACAAAAAGTGGGAGAAAATATTTAAAAGTAAAACAGGCAGGAGTGAAATAACCTTTGAAAACAGGAAATTAACACTATCATAAAATTACTTTCCTAAAATACATGTAAATAAATTTGATAATCTGGATGAAATAACTTTCTAGGAAAATAGAATTTACGAATGTTAACCTGGAAGAGTTTGAAAAGTCTAGAGTCTGATTTCCTTAGAAGAAATAAATAAGGCTGTCAAAGTGAAAACTGGCCAGAAAATCAGTAAATCCAGATGGTTTCACAGAGGAATTCACTAAACCTTTAAAAATAAGATAATCCCAATGCTATTTAAACACACAGGAAACAGAAAAGGAAGAGTCATTTGAAAACAATTTCATTAAGTAACAATATTGACAGTGTCAGAAGCAGCTAATACAAACTATTTATTGAAGAATACTTATTTGGTAGTAAAACTATTTTGTTAAAATAAAAAAGGAAAGAGGAAGAAAAGGCAAAGAAATAAAGAATACTTATTTGGTAGTAAAACTATTTTGTTAAAATAAAAAAGGAAAGAGGAAGAAAAGGCAAAGAAATAAAGAAAGTGGGACTTGAGTTCTGGGTGGGTTTATTTACACTTGCTCACAAGAGCTGACTGATAATTTTGGGGAATTTGATAAATCAGCTGATAGGCTGGTAGCTTGAAAAATCTGCCATGTCAGGAGTACTTATTCCATAGAACTCAGCAAATACTACAAATACTACCAATAAGAGACTGGTACATCACTGCCAAAGTCAAAGTCAAAATGCATTAAAACACAGTTGAGAGAAAGGGTATTGTGATCTGGAAGAGGGATATGGGGGCTTTGAAGCTGGGTGATGCTTATGCAGGCTACCTTACAGTAACATTTAAGTTGTACACTTACTTTAATGCATTCTTCTGTAGATATATTTCATAACTTAATAATACTCATTCACTTGCTTTTCTTTCAATACTATGGATATGAAAAAAAATTAATTTTTATTTCTGTGATGACAGAAGTCAAGTATCTCTTTATCACTTATTGATCATTATTAATCATTCACATGTTCTTTTGTCTATGTTGTTCACTCAAGTCTTCCACACATTTCTCTACTGACTTGTTTTTTTCCACCTAAATTGCTTGTCTAAGCTCCTTAGATGTTTTGGCTTATGATCTCTGGTTAGTTGTTCATGTTGTAAATTACTCCTTTCAGTTGTAGCCTTTATGCTTACTTTTACTACAGTTTTTTAAAATATAAATTTTCATTTTATTGTGGTCTTATGCATAAATCATTTCTACTATAGTTTGTACTTTTCACATATTAGGAAGTTCTTTCTTAATGGAGGTGTTAGCTAATGCTATGGTGGTAATCATTTTTCAATATATATTTGTATCAAATCAACACATCATATACCTAAACTCCCACACTGTAATATGACAACTATATCCCAGTAAAGTTGGGGAAAAGAAAGAAAAGTTTGTCTCTGCTCCGAGATAATAAAATTATTTTCCCATTTTACTCTAAAATTTTAAACTTTCCTTTTCATATTCAGATATTAAATTCAGCTGCAGTTTAGTTTTTGGCTTGTAAGGTGAGGTAGGACTCACATTGTTACTTTATTTTTACATAACAGTAACCAATTGTCCTTTGAATACTTATTGAAAAGTTAATCCTTTCCTCTGGTCTTCTTTATGTTTAGATTTTGTACCATTTTTTAATTCTGCATGATTAAGTGTATTACCTTATAATAAATATAAATTCAGACAAATACAGTTAATTAATTCATGGCAAAGCAGCCAAACAGGAAAAAAGTGGGGAAAGATAGTCTCTTTAGTA